CCAAAGCATTATATTATCCCCCGTATAAAGAAATCATGTACCTTATTCAATATTAGGTTATTATAACATTATAATAACGTTATTCATCGAAATCAAAAGACTACACTTTACGACAGGATGATGATTAGGGTATGAATTAAGTGAAGTAGTACTGATTTTCTTACAACTCGTTTTTGGAATGATGAAGTTTTCTCTGCAGCTGAATTTCGTGAGTAGCAGGCTGTTAAGTCTGTTTAAAGTGGGTGGCTCATGTCTTGCAACATCTGTTCAACAAAGAAAATTGAACTGTCTTAATCAGTTTGCACGATAGGATTAGCCAGGTTGAAGTCATTCAGATCTCGCGATTTCCTAAATAGGCTGCCATAGCGCTTACTTTTCGTGAGCAAATCGAAGGATAAAAAAATACTTAGCAGACTCTATCGCGACATATTATGATTGGATCATAAACCATAATTCATTTACTAAAAATTAAAGATTTGTTTTATACATTACGCATAGCATAGTTATAGAGGAACAGCTTTCGATCAGTCTAGCGTAGTTCTACTTCAGATTGTGCTGTTTGTGCAGCATGAAGTAAAATGGTAATGCAGTCGGTAGCGTCAAGCTGCTTCGAAGAGGGAACAACAAACTCGGTTTTTCAAAGTCTTTGCATACCTATTTTTACGGCATAACAATTTTACCGTTGCTCTCTCAGAAGTGAAATAAACCCCGTGGAGTTCCGCTCGAAGGTTATATGAGTGCGACTAATTACACGCCGTCACGTCCGCCCAGCCGGAGTGATGCGTCTCATGGTTTGACAGAACAATGAGTAAAAACATAACATCACTACCACAGCAGATTCTTTTATAATTAAGTCATGAAATCAAAATATGGAAAGAAAAACTTCAGGCTAATCTGAATTGGTTTAGAATATTTTTCAGAAGTATTAGAAGGTGCATAAAGTTATGCTAATCTGCTTGATAATCAATCGATGTAGTGATTTTTAAACGCTATACGGCACACAGTTCAAATGACGACCCTCCCCCCCACCCATTTTATATACGCGTTGCTCGAAGGTGAGACT